TGTGTGCGAGAGAAAGAGAGAGAGAGCTACAAATCTTAGTTTGCCGCACTTAATTTCCTACACTGTATTTTCTCAGACAAAATTTGTGTTCAATTTTAAAAAGTATCAAAGGCTAAAGAGAGAGGGGGGTGGTCAGGAGAGAGCGAGCATCTTCCATCTTCTGGTTTGCTCCCCAGATGCTTACAGCAGTGCAAGGGTAGGCCAGGCCCAAGCTGGGAGCCAGGAGCTTTGCTTATCCAGCATGGGTGGCAGGAACACAACCACGTAAGCATCACCTCCTGTTCCCAGGTGGACTTTAGTAGGTAACTGGATGGCGAGCAGAGGTGCCAACGCTGGAACTAGCACTCTGTGATATGTGATGCATGCATTCTATGCAGCAAATTCACCTGCCACATGACACCCTGCTCCTGTGTTTAATGTTTTCAGAAGTAGGTAATACTGAACATAGCTCAAAAGAAAATAATGTGAGGGCAAAAATAATAAGAAGTCTTTCAGTGTTCTCTGCGTTGAGTAGCACACTCGTCAGGAGTTTTTATACACAAAACAGCCTGGAAGAAGGGACATATTCTTTTCCTCTCATTCTCATCACCCAGCCTTTTCATAGCTAAGGAAGTAGGATGGCCTTGCCATTAGGAGCTGAGGCTTTGGGGCCAGCTTCCTGCATTCACATCTACACTCAGCCACACTCCCTGTTGGTTCCACGTATCCGGGCAGGTTCCAAGCTGTCTCCTTGAGAATCTCTGTAAAATGATGCTAGTATCCAGACTTCACTTAGAATAGTACCGTGCATACAAGGGCACCTCAGCCAGTTCATGAAAAAAGCAGATAATGTGCAGATTTCAGATTTTTTTTGCATCATACTAACGACTTTTTAATTCCGTTTTTCCCTAAACATTACTGTCTTAGTTGAATGCATTTACTAAATTACATTCAATAAAGTAAAATTGAAGAATAAAATAATATTGAACTAGTACCGCTCAATTTAGTGTATATTTATGATAAGTATAGGTGTAGGTAAATCCATCTGAAATAAACTTTAGGGAACTTCAGACGAGAAAATTAAAGCAGCTGAAGTATATTTTATTCTGCTGGCTCAATAGTTTTTTGGTTTTGCAAATGGATTTTTTAAAAATTTATTTTTATTACAAAGTCAGATACACAGAGAGGAGGAGAGACAGAAAGGAAGATCTTCCGTCTGATGATTCACTCCCCAAGTGACCGCAACGGCCGGTGCTGCGCCGATCCGAAGCCGGGAACCAGGAACCTCTTCTGGGTCTCCCACGCGGGTGCAGGGTCCCAAGGCTTTGGGCCATCCTGGACTGCTTTCCCAGGCCACAAGCAGGGAGCTGGATGGGAAGTGGAGCTGCCGGGATTAGAACCGGCTCCCATATAGGATCCTGGGTGTTCAAGGTGAGGACTTTAGCCACTAGGCCACTGCGCCAGGCCCTTTGCAAATAGCTTTTAAGGAACAACTTTATAGCTTTAAGCAGACATGCTTTTTTTTTTTTTTTTCTTTAGGATTTATTTACTTTTAGTGGGAAGGCAGATGTACAGAGAAGAGATAGAGCTTCAATCTGCTGATTGACTTCCCAAATGGCCACAATGGCCAGAGCTGAATTGATCTAACACCATGTGGGTGCAGGGTCTCAAGGCCTTGGGCCATCCTCAACTGCTTTCCCAGGCCACAAGCAGGGAGCCGGATGGGAAGTGAAGCAGCTGGGACATGAACCAGTGCCCATGTGGGTTGCTGACACTTGCAGACAGAAAAGTAGCCAGTTGTGCCATTGCACCAGCCCCAGATATGCTTTTTAAATGTTATATAAGTTTCCCAGAAAAGGTGTGTAGGGGTAACTCCTGAGAATGTCTTATAACATAGTGCATTATAATTGGAACATGTTTTCTCATACATTTTTTATAAGCAAATTTGTTTGAAATTTTCTTTTGAAAAATTCATTATATTTGAAAGGCAGAGTGACAGAAATGGAGAAAGCAATATCTTTTTGTTTTTGATTCACTCCCCAAGGTGGCTGCAAAGCCCAGGGGCAGGCCTAGCCAAAGCCAGGAGTGTGGACCTCCATCTGGTCTCCCACACGTCTGGCATGGGTTCAAGACTTAAAACTTCTCCCACTCATTATCAAGGAACTGAATAGGAAATAGGGCAACTAAGACTTGAACTAGTTCTCTGATATGGTATACCAGCATAGCAGGGAGTGAATTCACACACTGTGCCACAATACTATCCTCCAAATGTATTAAAAGTAGGATTCATTTACTTATTTGAAGTGCAGGATGACAGAGATCTGTCCTTGGCTACACTGGTTAATTTTTTTTAGAGATTTAATTTTTATTGAAAAGGCAAGTATACAGAGAGGAGGGAGACAGAAAGATCTTTTATCTGCTGGTTCACTCCACCAGTGGCTACAGTGGCTGGAACGGGGCTGGGTCCAAAGCCAGGAGCCAGGAACCTCTTCGTGGTCTCCCACGCATGTGCAGAGACCCAAGGCTTTGGGCCGTCCTCCACTGCTTTTCCAGGCTACAAGCAGGAAGCTGGATGGGAAGTAGAGCAGCTGGACTACAAACTGGCATCCATATGGGATCCCATTGCATGTGAGGTGAGGACTTTAGCCACTGGGCTACTTTGGCAGGTCCTGATGTTTATTTTTACTTAAAGATCTTTTATTCATTTGAAAGAGTGACAGAGACTCCATGCACTGATTCACTCCCCAAATTGCCACATGACTGGGGCTGGACCAAGCAGAAGGCAGGGACCAAGTCCTGCCAAATCTCCCACTGGTTGGGGACATCCAAAGGTGCATTAGCAGTGAACTGGATTAGAAGCAGAGTCAGAACCGGCCCTCTGATGATGCCGGATGCTGCGTCTCATTCAGTGTCTTCACTCACTGTGCCACAAAGCTGGCCTCTCCACTAATTAAAGTTCATACATAGTAATACATATTTTTCATTTTAGCCAGCAGTAGCCCATGAAGTTTGAAAATCCCTGGGTACCATTTTTTTAAGGTCAAATCCTTCATAACGTTAACATTGCTTAAGCTTGTGCGATGATTACTGAGTTTTCCTTTTTTTCTTTTTTATTGTCTCATCCGTTTGCTTCTATTTCTCAACCTTTACCATCCTAATTGGTGTTCCACATGGGTGTCCATCTTTTTCAACTATGTAAGCATCATCAAAAATAAATTTAAAAGCTAATTTGAAAGGCAGTGGCTGGGGAGGGACAGAGCTCACGCTGAGAGTAGGGTACTTCTCCCATGTGGGTGACAGAGGGACCACTTGACCTGTCCTCTTGCTGCCCTCCTGGGTCTGCATTAAGAGGAAGTGGCTGTGGACTCTCCACGGCAGGCACTCCAGTGTGGGACGTGGCTGTCTCAATTGCTAAAGTAACAGCAAGATCTCGCTTCTCCTTCCTTGCCTTTGTTTTTCTGTGACAAATGCATTCATTTCAGAAAATAGGAAGACACAGGGAAATGAGACTCAATTTAATACCACCGCAGCCCCACCAGTGCATCTTACCATTGCTTCTCATAATGGGCTGGCATATGGACCATTGCTTTTTTCTTTATGTAAGCATGCATGTGTAGTTATTCTTGTTACTGATTTGTTTATTTCCTATAGTGGTGGTGTACACTGATTGCTTTTAAATTAAGCTAAATTGGACATTTTAATCATGATTATGGGATCATTTACAATAGGTATATTTTTTTCATTGAGTATACATATGTCACAAACTACATTTGCATTGTATTCAAAGATATTTAAAAAATAAACTAGTAAACATTCTTACAGATTAATCCCTTTGGGCATAAGATTGTTTTTCTCATGTTCAAAACCTGGATCTTAGTGTTAAAAGCAGTGTGTATTATGGTGTTGAATATACACGTTTTCATGCTTTTGGTACATGGTGTCACATTTCCGGTAGTTGGTATCTGTGTACACAGGCCTGTTAGATGTGAGAACATTCCTCCTTGCACTGGTGCCCATCGCTTGCAATACTTCTAGACCATCTGTACCCCCTGCCCTCGTTCAGTATCCTGCCTCTTACCCAACTCAGAATCCCACAGAAACTGCTTTGGTACAAGATTGGAGAAGGCACCTGTTTTCAAATGCTCTCACTCTTTGCTTGCTAAGACATATGCCATAAAAATTATGATCGGGACTCTGCATAATACCCAACTTTTCTAAAGCGATACCCGTTTCCTTCAGCTCTGTGTTTGTGCTCATGTTGTGGTTTTTCCTGAGTGGGTGCTGTGACCTCCTTGCTATAACACAGAGGATTATTGCACTCACCATCTCTAGAAGCTGCTGTTCCAAACTCAAGTCCTGTTCTTGTTGACGAGCTTTAGAGAGACTAGAGGTTGTTACTTATTCCCCCAAGACCTACTGCTGCTTAACTTGTGAAATGAATTAGTGGAAATGTGATCATTGAAAAGGCAGTCCTTCTATATACTTAGTGTGTTACCTAATACACAGTATGTATTCAATAACGTATCTTTTAGCTTCCCATCTGAGTCTCACAAAATACATGTAAATCAAACAGGGATTGAATTTCTTCTGCATTTCAGAGACCAACAGGAGCAAAAACGGGAAGACTTTCCCTGCTTTCACATTTAGAAAGTGCTGGTTTCAGCCGAGTTGAGGGCTTTGGAGGTAAACCATAAGTACTCCCACATTGTGGGGAGACTGAAGTGCATGATGGGATTGTACTGAGTAGTTAGGACAATGAGGGCCAGCATGAAAAGTCTGAAAGGCAAATATACAGGAGTTTGAGAGCTGCACAAGACAGGCTTCATTCCAAGCAATACAGACGGGTCCCTTGTGGCTTAGGAGACGAGGCTGCTGTGTCCGGGAGACTTGTAGCCACCAGCCAGTGTCTTTTCCAGGCTGAGTGAACTGAACACTTGGATGAAACATGTAATAGATTTCTTTGGTTTTTGCTTTAAATGCCTATGACTGATTGGACCTTTATCCTGACTTGTTTCCAACAGGGCATGGTGCTGATGTGAAGTGTGTCGACTGGCATCCAACCAAAGGGTTAGTTGTTTCAGGAAGTAAAGACAGTCAACAACCAATCAAGTTCTGGGACCCCAAGACTGGGCAGAGTCTTGCGACACTGTAAGTGAGAGGAGACCCCGTCTGGGTGACCCAACGCAAGCTCACGGAGCAGACTGCGTTCTTTCATGTTCAGCTTCCTGTTCTCTTGTGTTTCTCAGAAAGTAGTTTAAGCAACAGATGTATCTGTAGACTTCTTATCAGTTTTGATTTGTCTCTAAGTTGAATCAAGTTAAAGACTTGATATTTTTTTTTTTTTTGCCCTGCTGCACAACCCTGAGTTTAATTTGGTTATTGTAGGGTGTAGAGAAGAGGAGGTGGTTATTACTGGTGCAGCTTACTGCCTGTCCTCATTAGAGTGCCTTTTGTCACTGCTTGAAGTTGATGTATGAATAGCCATGCCTTCTCCATCTCACCACAAATTTCTGTTTGCAAAGAAGTTGTCCTCCATTTTCAAGCTATTCTCATTTATGACTGCTGTGTTTACTTACAATACAGCTACGTAATATAATTTTCTCCTTGAATTACTTGTGAATATGTTTCAATGTTGTTTGGATCAAGCAGTTGTAACCTGATCTTCTGATAGGGAAGGGACCCATATCCAGTGAGCCACAGCCACGGCCCAGCACCTTTAGGTGCTTTTCCCTGGAGGTTTACATTGTGCAGGCCTTGGGTGGTACGTTGTCTTCATTTCAAATTAACCCTCAAACTATGCAGTGGTCATTTCGATTCTTTGCCTTAATGAGAGAAACTTCATTGGCTTTCCTAAATATAATGAGCCTTGCTGAATATTAGTTTGCTTGTTCAAATGTTTCCCCTGTTTCAGAGAGCCTTTCTGTCTAGTTGCAGATCTGCTGCTACCTTCACTGGCTGGAGAGGCCTGTGCTTTGATAGTGGGCATTCCTGTTGTTGACCCATTTCTGTAACTGTGCTCCTGTCATGTCCCATGCTTTTCTTCCCCTAGGCAAGTCTTGCCAACTTGAGCCCCTGTACTTCTCAACACAAAGGGCCACCTTTGCTTTATATTCACTTTCGGTTCTCACAGACTGCTGTCTTGGTGCTCTGTTTGTAGTCACGCCCATAAAAACACAGTCATGGAAGTGAAGCTCAACCTCAATGGCAACTGGCTGCTCACAGCGTCACGTGACCATCTCTGTAAACTTTTTGACATCCGAAACCTGAAAGAAGAGCTGCAAGTCTTCCGAGGCCATAAGAAAGAAGCCACAGGTCGGTAGTTGTGATCTGAGGGGCGCAGAAAGACAGTGACCTAGAAGAGTGTTCTCAGACGTTCGTAATCTTGTCTTTCTTTGGCAGCTGTGGCCTGGCATCCTGTTCATGAAGGACTTTTTGCCAGTGGAGGCTCTGATGGTTCTTTGTTATTCTGGCATGTTGGGTATGTAACTTTTTTTTATGTACAAGGGTGGTGTATTGTGCAAAGAGAGCACCTAATTGTGTAGACACGTGTGTGTTTCTGAGTTGTTTGAGTGTCTCATTTTAGAAAATGTAGCACTTGTTCACTTGGATCTGCATTCACTAAAGGCAAATAAAATAGATTTCCTATTTCCTTATTGGTATAGTAATTCTAGAAGCGTTTTTCCCTTTGTAGCATTCTTTGGATAAAAGAATATCTTTCTTTTGACAAACCAAGTATCTTTGATATACATACAGAAAGTAGAGTCAAAGAAACAGGTTTTGGTAGTTTTGTTTTAAAGCTAGAAGAGAATGTCTTTTTTTGCAGGTAAGGGAGAAATGTTAACTTTTATTAAGACTTCTTTCTTGGGTGCCATTGCAGAGTGGAGAAGGAAGTGGGTGGGATGGAGATGGCACACGAGGGAATGATCTGGAGTCTGGCGTGGCATCCTCTTGGACACATTCTCTGCTCGGGCTCAAACGATCACACCAGGTAAGTTTAAAAGTAGCTGGGAATCCCTGTTCACATGGAGCAACAGAAAGTAAATGTTGTGTCTATCTATTTCATGTTTTGATTGATGCAGTAAGTTGATTCTAATGTTGTGGAAACATTTTATAGTGGTTCAAAGTTGTGTTACCATAAGGACTTTGTGTATTGCATATAACTTTGGTTAGTTGATTTTGCTTTTGCCTTCTGATTTGATTCAGCCTTTCCATATTTGAAAGTTGTTTTTTTTTTGTTGTTTGGGTTTTTTTAAAGATTTTTATTTATTTTCATTGAAAAGTCACATATACAGAGAGGAGGAGAGGCAGAGAGGAAGATCTTCCATCCAATGATTCACTCTCGAAGTGGCCGCAACAGCTGGTGCTGCACCGATCCAAAGCCAGGAACCAGGAACTTGTTTCTGGGTCTCCCACATGGGTGCAGTGTCCTAAGACTCTGGGCCGTCCTTGACTGCTTTCCCAGGCTACAAACAGGGAGCTGGATAGGAAGCAGGGCCAACGGGATTAGAACTGGCGCCCATATGGGATCCCGGGGCGTTCAAGGCGTGGACTTTAGGTGCTAGGCCACGGTGCCGGGTCCATATTTGAAAGTTTTGTAAGAAAGGCATTGTGAAAAATTGTGTTTGTCAAGGGAATCATGCTCTTTCCTTCTCCCCCTCATTACTTTTATTTTGACAGCAAATTCTGGACTCGAAATCGACCGGGTGACAAGATGCGAGATCGATATAATCTAAATCTGTTACCTGGAATGTCTGAAGATGGAGTAGAATACGGTGAGGCTCGTACACAGCTGAAATCTGATACTCCAGTAGGGAAGTGCTGGTTGGGAAGATAATAGAAGACATTTCATTTCTTAATTTATTAATCCAGAAGTCACTAGTGATACGATGCTATTCTAAGAGGCATTAATCGTGTTGACTACTGTTTTTATAAAATCTCTGTTTTCAATGTATGTGTTGCTGTTTACAGACGACCTTGAACCTAATAGCCTGGCAGTAATTCCGGGAATGGGAATACCGGAACAACTGAAATTAGCTATGGAGCAAGAACAGATGGGTAAGAGAGGGGACGCACATACACATTTTATGCTTTATAAAATGTGTAGATATCTGTTTCTTATCTTCATGATAAACTATGTGGAAAAGCCAGAATTGTTTATGTGGAGAAGTACTGATAGAAGTGATTTGAAATACTTACAAATCTCTTGTTTGGAAAAGTAGGTTCATTGAACAAGTGGCTAGTTCTTTTCATTCACAGGGCTGTATCTTTTTCGTTATGGTTTATAGGAAAAGATGAAGCAAGTGAAATCGAAATGACGATTCCTGGGTTAGATTGGGGAATGGAGGAAGTGATGCAAAAGGATCAGAAGAAAGTACCTCAGAAGAAAGTCCCATATGCAAAACCAATTCCGGCTCAGTTCCAGCAGGTGCGTGACCACGTGTGGCTCCCCTACCTCCAGACCCCGGAGGGTGTGCTTGCCTTGCTCATTGGATGAGCAGAAATAGATTTCCCTTGGCTTGTCTCATCTGTTGAAGGTATTTCTGTACTAGAGATTCTTTTTTGGCGTGTTCTTTGCATGTTTTCATTCATTCTTAGACGGTTCCCATCTGCTGCTTGCAGTATGTTGAGTTGGCCTTGGATCCGGCTTCCTGTTTCATCCTGACACGTGTACTGTCGATCCTCCGTGTAAGAGGAAGGAGAGGAGTGGGACATTGAGCAGACTGTGCTGGCTCCTCCCTTCTTTGTCTATTCTCTGTTTCAGCCATCTGCTCATCAGCTTTACATTCAGTGTAGCAGAATGCAATATCTTCCAGTTTCGGTCATCCTGATAGTTTCTGTCTGATGTTATACCACCTGACCCCATCGTCCTGCCACTTAAGAATTAATAACAGAAATGAAGGCAGTCCGACAAGTGGGGTTGAACAGATGACTTTATGGAATGACTTTGTCTTTCGATGATAATCTTCTTACTTTCCCTGTTTTTAAATATTCTCTTCTTCCACAAGGCTTGGATGCAAAATAAAGTTCCAATTCCTGCTCCAAACGAGGTGCTGAATGATAGAAAAGAAGACATTAAATTGGAAGAGAAGAAAAAAACACAAGCAGAAATTGAGCAGGAGATGGCTACTTTGCAGTACACCAACCCCCAGCTCCTGGAGGTGAGTGGGGATGCCACGTCTGACCGCTGTGTTGGGCTCCGCGTTTCTAAGTGTCCTTTGTCTTAGCTTTTTAAGATCAGATCAGTGAGCTTAAGTAAAATAAGATAGAAAAAGCTAAGGCCAGTGTTGGTTTAGTTTGGATTCATTTCTCCACAAGTAACAATTGTCCCTTGGAGCCAGAAGAGCAGATGACTTGTTTTTTGTTTTTGTTTTTGTTTTCTCCTCCTCATGAGAGTTATCCAGAGTGACAGAACACTAGGGAATTATTGGGGTGTCCCTGCTCAGCGTTGATTGTAAGCAGTCCTCGGTGCTGGGAGGTTGTGTTGCTCGGGGAGTTGGAGTGACATGGTTGCAGATTTCTCTGGAGACATCAGGAGACTGAGCAGTTTCTTGTTCATTTTGAGGATCCTGGAATGTTCGCACATTTGTCATCCTTAAAGGTGCCAGCTAATTGATTGTCCTTTTTTCCTTCCCCTTTTCTTTCCAGCAACTCAAAATTGAGAGACTCGCACAGAAACAGGCTGAGCAAATTCAACCTCCTCCCTCAGCTGGGACCCCTCTCCTCGCACCCCAGCCATTTCCAGGACAAGGTCCGATGTCGCAGATTCCTCAAGGTTTCCAGCAGCCCCATCCATCTCAGCAGATGCCAATGAACATGGCGCAGATGGGGCCTCCAGGCCCACAAGGACAGTTTAGACCCCCCGGACCGCAGGGCCCCCCACTGCACCAGGGAGGTGGGGGGCCACAAGGATTCATGGGACCACAGGGGCCGCAGGGCCCACCCCAGGGACTGCCACGGCCTCAGGACCTGCACGGGCCCCAGCCGATGCAGAGGCATCCTGGACCTCATGGCCCTCTGGGGCCTCAAGGACCACCTGGCCCCCAGGGGGGGTCCGGCCCTCAAGGTCACATGGGTGCTCAGGGTCCGCCTGGTCCGCAGGGTCACATGGGCCCCCAGGGGCCTCCTGGTCCGCAGGGTCACATGGGCCCCCAAGGGCCTCCTGGTACACCAGGTCTGCAGGGCCCACCTGGTCCCAGGGGAATGCAGGGGCCCCCTCACCCTCATGCCATGCCAGGCGGGCCTGGGCCTCAGGGGATCCCGGGCCCCGTGTCTCAGGGACCTCTGATGGGGTTGAATCCCAGAGGAATGCAAGGCCCTCCTGGCCCCCGGGAGAACCAGGGTCCTGCTCCCCAAGGCATGATGATGGGCCACCCGCCTCAAGAGCTGAGAGGACCTCATCCTCCAAGCGGACTTCTTGGACACGGCCCTCAGGAAATGAGAGGTCCTCAGGAAATGCGGGGCATGCAGGGGCCGCCCCCACAAGGATCCATGCTGGGCCCTCCCCAGGAACTGCGTGGGCCTCCCGGCTCACAAGGCCAGCAGGGGCCGCCCCAGGGCTCTTTGGGACCTCCACCCCAGGGTGGCATGCAAGGGCCTCCTGGACCTCAGGGACAGCCGAACCCGGCAAGAGGACCACATCCTTCTCAAGGTCCAATACCATTCCAGCAACAGAAAACACCTCTGCTGGGTGATGGGCCCCGGGCCCCCTTCAATCAGGTACTATTTACTTCCAACTCATGACAGTAACACGCTGGGAAAACTGTACTGTGCACTGATGCACCTGTTGTGGTGGCTCACAATATTAGCATCCTAGGAAATGCTAGGAGTGCTGAGATGGGTTATACTGCTGTTAGATACTCATCTTCTCATTTCGTTATTTTTTGTGTGTGATGGAGGTGGTTCCTTTAGTAAAGAGAACTTTGGACTAGGAGCAGGTTGGACCGACCCCAGGGCTGAGGCTCTGAGGCGTTACCTGATAGCCTGATGTGCATGAGCCTGCAAGCCACTGTGGCTCCTGCATCCTGCTGCTGGCTCACGTGGGCCTGCCAGCCACTGTGGCTCCTGTATCCTGCTACTGGCTCCCGTGGGCCTGCCAGCCACTGTGCCCTCCTGCATCCTGCTGCTGGCTCCCGTGGGCCTGCCAGCCACTGTGCCTGTCTGTCTGCTGACTCTCCATTTAGAGCTAGTGAGGGGTGCTTAGCTCGTGTGGGTGCACTGCAGGCTGTGCTCCTCTGTTTTCATTTCCTTGAACCAGAATCAAGCATTCTGCAGTGCTGGGCTTGCATATAAAATTCTGTTCAAACTGTTCTCAGCTCACACAGAAGAATGTTTGCAGGGAGGTGTATTTCTGTAGAAAGTTCCTTCATCTGTTTTCAGGGCCTTGGGTTTTGTATTTTGGTTTTTGGAAGGTTGTGAAAAGATCATGTGACAGAGAGAGGGCGAGAGAGAGAGATCTTCTGACCCGATTCACTCCCCAAATGTCTGCAACAAGTAGGCCTGAAGCTAGGGGCCAGGAACTTGGGGCAGTTTTTCACTACCTTCTCAAGCACATCTTTGGGAAGCTACATCAGAAGCATGGCAACTAGGACTCCAACTGGCAGCCCGACATGGAATATGGGCCTATGGGCAGTAGCCTAACTCGCGCTGCTTTGCAAGTCTCCAAGGACTGGGTTTTTGTTAGCCATGTTTTATAGCTTATTCCTCCCAACTCGTGGCTGAGACCAGGAGAGCGTGGTTGATCAGGAGTGAGCCACAAAAGACCAGCTAAGCACTAGTGTCGAACCTGACACCCTTTGCTCTGGTTCTCAGTCGGGAGATGTTTGAAAATATAAACATGCCAGAATCAAGAGGGTAGACCTGAGTTTTGGGAATCATTCACTAAGAATCTATATTGTACCTTCTCAAATACAGAGGAAAAGCATTAAAAATTCATTCTAAATTTTTAATCAATCAAGTTGTAGAAATATTGCTACAAGGAGGCTGAAAGCTTAATATCTCATAGGGTATTTTAAATCTCAAAAGTTGCCCATTGGAAACTTAATGCTCAGTTTTTAGGTAAGATAATCCCTTACTTCCTATACTTTGACCAGGCCAATTTTAAAGAACAGTTTGCTTTCATTGGTTACTTCAGTAATTTGATTCAAGGCACTGAAAAAGCAGCATGGAAAGTATTGGTAGAGCATTACTGAGTGGACGGGGCAGGCACCAAAGTGGTATAGAAGTTACTGCCATCAAGTGAATGACTCAGTAGAGCGGCTGTCATCAAGGCCAGTTTGGGAAAGGAAAGACATTTTGCTAATTGTGCTTTTGAAACTCTGCAAGGAGGAAATGTTATTACATGTACTTTTAAAAGTTTCTATATATCTTTGAAAGATAGAGTGATGTGAGTTAGAGGGCAGAGAAGGAGAAAGAGAAAAAAGAAAGGAAGAGGTCTTCCATCTACTGGTTTATTCCCCAAGTACTTGCAGTAGATCCAGTCCAGGCCGAGGCTGGAAATTGGGAACTGCATCTGTGTGGCCCGTGCTGGTGACAGGGACCCAAGCAGTTGGCCCGTCACCTGCTGCCTTCCAGGTGGATTAGCCGGCTGCATTGGAAGAGGAGATGAGACTGGAGCTCAGGCTGGAGGCAGTTGTCCAAGTGCCAGTTTAACCTGCACTGCAATGCCTGCTCACCAGTTGCGGTTTTTGATGACTTGATTGATTGATTTGCTTATTTGTCAAGAGCCCTGAGCCAAGATCATTGGACTTCAGGGAATCAGTATTTAGATAAACATAGGTAGATGAAAATGTAGACTGGTAGAGCTAGGGCTAAGTCAGGGCCACTGGGCGACGAGTGAAAGGATTAGAGCAGCCGGAACCTGAGTCCCCAGCTTGACTTAAATAGGTCTGAGCAGTGGAATGCCTGGGAAAGGGGACCCTCCCAATCAGAGAGGTCTGTAGAATCTTCTAGCAAAATGGGACCCTGTTCTCATTTTGCCTGTTCCCCCCTTTTCAAGACCCTCCCTGACTGACTTCTGTCTCTATCAGGGGTCCTGGGCTGGACCACCAAGTTGTCTGGGCAGATTGCTGGACCTTCCTGTAGCCAGAAGTTCCTCCACTGGGCCAGGGTAGTGGTGGTGGTACTGGGCCACAGTGCCCGACTTTACATTGACGTTCTTGCCTCACATTGCAAGTGGAGCTCGCTCTAGATAGGGTCTGTGGTCAGCAGGTGTAAGGGACAAGGTGCTGCTTTGTGCTGTGCTGTCACTGGGGTATGTTTCCCACCAGGGGCAGCTGATGTTCTTGTTTTATCACATAATGCAGTTGCTGTTGGTGAAGCACAGCCTGTTGTTTCACACCGGACTTTCACTCTTATCTTTCCAGGACGGCCAAAGCGCAGGCCCCCCACCCCTGATCCCAGGCCTAGGGCAGCAGGGAGCACAAGGCCGCATTCCCCCTCTGAACCCTGGACCGGGACCTGGCCCTAACAAAGGTGAGTGTCTGCTGGGCTGAGGAAAAGGTGGCATGCGTCACCTCTATGGGCGGTTTACAGGGAACAGTTTTCCCTGTAACTCTTTGATAGAAGAGCCCTTTGAACCACTGGGACACATTAGGGAGCAGGCATTTTAGATCGTGATTGGTTCAGATGGGCCACCGTGCTGGCCCCAGGAGGTAAGCTGCTCTTGGCAGACACCGGGGAAGCAGCAGGACTCATGTGGCTGTAGCCTGCCTTGCAGGCTGGCCTTGTCTGTTGCTTTGGAGTGAATGTCACTCCATGCTTGTTGACTGCTAGTCTGTGTGCTTATCATCCTGCAGAGCTGAAGTTTATCAGCACCTTCTTCTGCCAGTTGTCATACTGTTTGAAAAGAAGAGTCACATGTCTACCACTGTGTGGTTGAGATGAGAATCTGCCGTGTTTGGATGCAGCCCTGTCTAGAAAGAGGAGCACTGGTCCAGGGGTTAAGACAGGTGTACACCAGAGGCCCTTGTATGGCCCAGTGGTGTGGACGGGAGCTGTGGGATGGAGAGTTAGAGGGGCAGGTTGTGGTAGTGTGGGCCAGGGCCCTTAGGAAGAGATGGAGTCAGTACATTTTAGAGATTGTACCCCCACAGGAGGGAGTCAGAGATGAGACTGTGAGGTGCACACTTCACAAAGCCTTGCGCCGTTTTCTGGCTGAGCCCGCGGCAACTCTGCGATGCTGGTTAGCTTTCTCATCTACACTACATCAGGCAAGTCCTTGTCAGCCTTTCCAACTGTAGGACTTTGGAAATGGAAAACTCAATCTTGATTTCATGTGCATGATCTCAGGTAGAGAAGCGAAAGAGAGAGAGGAGTTGGCATTTACTGCCCTCTTCTCGCGTGGGAGTGGGTACACAGGATGTGCAGATGGAAGCAAGACGGTGGCCACGGGAAGCAGACACCGCGAGAGGCTGCAGGGTGCTGGGGGCCTGCAGGTGCCACCACTCTGTCTGACGGCTGCCTCCTGTCCCTGCACTGTCCACCTCCTTCCTTCTCCTCCTCGCCTCCCTTTCTTCTTATACCCTTTGTTCCTTCTATTTCTTCTTCCTTTCATCCTCCCCCCCAGAGAACGCAGGGAGAAGGGAGAAAGCAGCCTGCCACCCACTCGGGATGAGCTGCTGCTGCTGCCCCTCCATAATTAGCATGGTGGGCTTCTCTCCTGGGAAGGGCAGGGCCCTTTTAAGGAGGTGGAGGCAGAGCAGGTAAGTTCAGAGGGAGATGTTCACAGGGCTGCTGGGTCTCAGGTTACACTAGTTCAAGGAGCACCGAGCCCGTGATGGAGCCCTTGGCCCAGGCTCCCCCAGAGAGGAGAAGAACTGGCCACGGGAAGGACCCTGTGTAGGGGGGCCGGCCACTCTGGAGAGGTTTGCTGGGCATGGACAGCACTGGCTGGGAGGCAGAAGGGAGAGGGGCCTGTGCCATGGCATGGAGTTTACTGGATTTCCAAGCCTTTCATGCGTTTTGAATGGTGAGGAGCTGAAATGATGAAAAGAGACAAGACGGGCAGGGGGGTGCTGTTGGAGGGGAGGAGTCAGGGCTGGGGCCCACCTGCTGGTCCACGGGCTCAGGAAAAGTAGCAGGCGGTGACATTGGGCAAGTGGGCTGTAGTTGTTGAGAAGCAAGCATCCCATTGCTTCTCTCAATGCTTGACTTAAAAACATATATTGACACAAAATAGGTATGCTTTCAGGAGCTAGGGAACACTTTTGTTCCACACTCTGTAGTCCAGAGTCAGACATTCTGTCTTCAGTGCAGTTCTGAAGCTGGCCTGTTGGAAGGGACAGCAGTTACTAGAGAGGTCCCTGGCTCCCTGTGGCTCACGGGGATTTGTGAAGATTTGCTCTCAGAGTGAGGTAAGCACTGTAGGTGGCAGCCATGCGACCTGGTACCCTGTCAGTGGCTTGTGGCTGTCACAGGTGCAGAGGTGAGTCCTTGGTGCTTGGCTTCCAGCCTGTAGTGTTGTTGTTGTTCTCTGTTCCATCTCCGCCACCCTGGGCAGCAGGGTAGAGCTGAGCCCTTGTGTTAGCACTGAAGGACAGGGACGGGGAAGGCAGGCTGCACCCCCCTCATTGGAGGCTCCTAGTCTGCCCTCACCGACATATGCACCCCCCAAACCGCTGAGTGACACCCCTGGGCCCTGCCTTCTAAGTGCACTGAGAACCGAGGAGGGAGAACGTTTTGAATGAAAGGATGTGTTCTGAGGTTTGGTGATGCTGAGAGCAGACCTGGACGGGCAGGTTTCCTGGAAGCCCTGGTAAAAGTCAGCTTTGTTTCCTTTAGGTGACTCCCGCGGCCCCCCAAACCATCACATGGGCTCGATGGCAGAGAGGCGGCATGAGCAGAGCGGCGGCCCCGAGCACGGGCCTGAGAGGGGGCCTTTCCGGGGCGGCCAGGACTGCAGGGGTCCCCCTGATAGGCGCGGCCCTCACCCCGACTTCCCCGATGACTTCAGCAGACCAGACGACTTTCACCCCGACAAGCGCTTTGGCCACCGGTTGCGAGAATTTGAGGGGCGAGGAGGACCTGTACCACAAGAAGAGAAGTGGAGGCGAGGGGGTCCCGGGCCTCCGTTCCCTCCTGACCCCAGGGAATTCAGTGAGGGGGACGGCCGCAGTGCAGCCCGAGGCCCCCCCGGGGCGTGGGAAGGCCGCAGAGCTGGCGACGAGCGATTCCCCCGAGATCCCGACGACCCGCGGTTTCGAGGGCGCAGAGAAGAAAGGTGGGACAGAGACCATGCGGGCCTGCTCCGCCTGCCCGGAGGGTTCTGCCTCTTCTGCCACTGAGGCTTCCATCCCGCTGTGCTGGGGAGGAGCGAGGACTGCTGGCAACGGCAGCCCTCTCCTTGCTTGGTTTCGCCCCTGAGCTCTGAACACTTGATGCCATCTAACTGCCCCATGGGTTCTTTGGTATCTCCGCAGTTGAGAACCCTCCTTCTCTTTGCTTGCTTTGCAGTCCTGTTTAAAAGCTGAGAGGATCAGTGTGCCCTGAAGGTGTCTTGGAATTCCCCGCAGATGCCCCCCCTCTCCCCGTATTCTTGGTACAGAGGAGGCACAGACCTAGACTGGAAGCCAGTGGTTTGTGGGGCCAGCCAAGAATGAATCTTCCTGGGACCTAGTTTGCCTGAGACGTGAAAGGCAGAGGCTGATGGGTGTTAGCGATCTCTCAGAGCAGTCCGTGGTGGCGAAACCCGAGCGTGTAGTCTGTGCCAGGTGCTGGCCCCTGGAATGTAGGAGACAGGAATTACAGGCAGCGTCTTCTGGAAAAGGGAGTAGACGGATGGAGAAGCAGGGCTGGGGCTGGGCTTGCCGAGGTCTTGCAGTATTGGGTGCTGGAGCCAGGCTTCCGCCTTGGGTCTCCGCATCATTTTCCTAACTACTGTTGCCAGCGGGTGGGTGGATGGGTCAGGGAGTGGCTGCCCCGTCCTTGGGGGATGTGTTGGAACAGACCAACTGTTAGCATCACCAGGAAGTGGGGGATGATAGCAAGGACTCAGGGAGCAGGTGTTAGCTGAGGTTTTGAAAACAAGATGGAGGGCTCCTGACTTTTTTTTCTCTTCCTTTCTCTTTAAAAACCGCTCCACTCACGTATGAACCTTGCGCATGTCTAAGGACGTGGTGTGGCATTTCAGGTCATGTGCATGGTCAGACCAGGGTGTGAGTGCGCTCAGCACTCGTGGGACCTCCCTCACTTGGGCAGCTGTGAGCGCCTCAGCTCCAGCAACTGCCAAAATGTGGAGCCAGAGCCGCCCTCTCTGCTGCCGGCACCGTACCGCTCCGTGCGTTCTCTCTCCCTGGCTGGGTAGCCTCCTTCTGTTACTTACACTCGAGAGACAAGGTGCAGTATTTGTCTCCTTCTGTCTAGTTTGTCTTCACTGACTGTAGTGACGACAGCAAACGTAGGATTTCTTTTCCTTCCTGTGGCCGAACAGTATCCCACTTTGCGTAAATACCGCACTGTTAAACCATAGCGCCACTGTATGATCTGGCTGTCCTACACTTGGCTGTGTATCCACAGCAAAGGAAACCAGCATGTGGTATTAATACCTACACTCCCAGTCTCCTGGGGAGGGGCCCTCTCGATGATGCGCATGCGTTCTCTTCAAGACAGCTTTTTGTCTATAAGAGCTTGGCACCACTGTAACTGTCATTGTTTTCTCAAATCAGCGGGCAAAATCCATGTCTGGATTTGTACTTATTGCACCTGACAGTGAAGGCACAGCCTGGGCTTACGCAGTCACAGCTCTGCGCTGCTCTTGCTCACACCACACCTGCTCCTTCTGCCTTCTCTCTGCCAGATGTCTGTGGCTTGCTCTGGTTGCATTCCCTGCTCCTGCTGCACCCAGGTCCTCCCCTGGCTCTCTGTCACATCCTAGCTCCTAGTCCAGCTTGGCATTTAGAAACCTGCGCACTTCCACATTGCCGGTCACCTTCCCCGCTGTAGCCTCGTGGAGGCCTTGCGTAGGCAGCCCACTGCAGGTGCTCAGTTGTCATGCACTAAATCATGAGCAGAGGTGACTGAGCAGCAGCCCCTGGCGAGCAGAGCTTGCAGAAATAAGCTCTTTTCTCCAAGTTCTGGGCCATCACCCACGGGGCAGCGTAGGGGTGGGGACCATATCCCTGGCTGGCATCCTGCCTCCTCCTCCTGCACCCTCATGTGGTGCGGGGATGGCAGGTGCTCTCTGGTATCTCTTGAAGAGCCACATCCCATCACCAGAGTATCACCCTCATGACCTCAGCCGGCCCCGTTTACCTCCCAGAGGCCCCATCTCCAAGTCCCATCGCACTGGGGGTTAGGGCTTTGGCATACACATTCTAGGGGCAGTGCAGTCATTTAGTCCTATCAGAAATGTGGTCTGCTAAGGATAGATGAAATTGTCTGTTTCCCAGAGAAATGGCTCCCAGCTGAGACTCCATGCGGCCCACCTGCCCCTTCCTCTGTCTAGCTACTCCCCTACTGCTCTTGCTTGTTGTCTCAGCCAGTGGCCCGCACATGCTGCCTACTACCTGAGGACTAAGAAGGTTATTGGAAATGCAGCTGGGAGTGACATTTGTCCTGTTAGGTGAGACCATGGTTATGGTGTGAGAGTGCCATGCTGCAGTGCCTGAGTTTGATTCCTGACTCTGGTGTCCTGCCAATGCAGACCCTAGGAGGCAGTGGTGATGGCTTGAGTAACTGAGGTTCCTGCCACCCACAAGATAAGACCTGGCTGGAGTTCTTAGCTCACAGCTTTTGCTGTGACGCCCATTTCGGGCCATCACACGCATGTGTATAGGATTTCTATGTGTATGTGTCTCTGTCTCTAGCTCTCAAAACAAACACAAAAACACAGTGGTAGAGCACAGCAGAGCTCCTTTTTACAGCATGTCAAGTGATAATTGTAGGAGGAGGGTAGCATTCAAAAATCACCTCTTTGATGAGCAGTCAGCATCCTGGCTTCCGTGGTCAGGGTCAGCAGAGGATGCTTAAAACCATTGGGGAAGGGGTGGTGCAGCGACTTAAGCCACTGCCTGCCAGCATCCCGTAACAGTGTGCTAGTTTGGGTCCTGGTTGCTCTGCTTCTGACACAGCTTCCTGCTAACGTGCCTGAGAAGGCAGCAGAAGATGGCCTGAATGTTGGTGTGCCTGTGACCCATATGGGAGACCCAGATAGAGTTCGTGGCTCCTGACTTCAGCCTGCCTCTGCTGTTGCAGCCGCTTTGGCAAGGCAAGCAGCGGGTGGAAGTGCTCTCCTCCTGTGCCCCCTTCTCTGGCTCTTGCTCTGCTTGTGCTGGGGGCACACTGTGGGGGAGCAGCTGCACCCTCAGTGCAGTCAGGTGTTGGTCACAAAGCAGAACATGGAAGCCCTGGGTGCTGCACTGCCTTGACGTCACAAACCTTGAGATAGATTGACATCCAAGCAGCTCTTGGCACCAAAACTTTTTAAAGATTTATTTATTTTTATTGGAAAGACAGATTTATGGAGAGAAGGAGAGACAGAGAGGAAGATTTTCTGTCTGCTGCTTCACCCCCCCCCCCCCAAGTAGCTGCAACAGCTAGAGCTGATCCGAAGCCAGGAACCAGGATCTCCTTCTGGGTCTCCCATGCGGATACATAGTCCCAAGGCTTTGGGCCGTCCTCAACTGCTTCCCAGGCCACAAGCAGGGAGCTAGATGGGAAATGAAGTGGCCAGGACACAAACCAGTGCCCACTTGGGATCCCAGCATGTACAAGGCAAGGATTTAGCTACTGATCCATCACGCTGACAGATGGTGCCAAAACTCAATCCAGTTACGAGGAAGCAGACACATGGAGATTGTGGGAGTCTTCAGCATGTCCAGCATGGAATACAGCACTACAGGGGCGACAGATTGAGGTGACCAGAGAACAGAGAGACATCGCCACGAATGATAGCATGTGACAATAACAGGATTCTGTTGTGCAAGTCCAGTTGCCAGGACACTTGGGACACTTGAGTTGGACTGTGTATTCCTGAAAGGAGAATGGGATTGTGGCTACATAGAGGAACCTCCTTGCTATTAGAAATATCCCGAGGTGGCTGGGACGAGACATCATGTTGTCTGCAGTAAGCAGACGGGCGGTGAGAAGCCGCAACACACACAGCAGAAGGCTAGGATCCCCAGGCGCTCCTGGGCTCTCACAGCTTTGTCGGAGTCAGGCATCGAAGTAACTGACTGGGAGGCCTGGGCGAGGACAGGGCACTGGCAGAGGGGCCAGCCGGAGGGTAGCTGCCTGTCCATAGGCAGCTCTCACTGCTTACACCAGCCCGGGGTGGAGGCTGGCCGTGGGCCAGGGCAGCTGGCAGAGCTGGATTCCCGAGCAAGTCTAGTGCAGGTGGAAGGCATGATGTCTGTAGCCCTCCCCCTCCTCTGCTTATGTAGTAAGTACACTTCATAAAAAAAATGCTGCTGGTCATGAAAAATACTTGGGCGGGGGGGGGTTCAAGGCTACCTGTGCTCACATTGCAACCCACACTTGGGGTACAGCCTGAAATCTCTTCCCACAGTTTGGGAGCCTCGGCTTGTGGAGGTCGGGATTGTTGAGGAAGTCAGCTTCAGCCTCACGCGGTGGTGGGGAGGAGGATGTGGGCACATCCGGCAGAGAGCCCTTGGTGTGACGGGAGCACTTGAGAATTGCTCCAGAGCCCTCTGGCCTGTCTTGCCCCGCATCGGTACCTTGCTGCCAGGATCCTGATGCGTGCTGCATCCTGGTCAGCTCTCCCTGGGTACCCCTCACATGGACTCTGCCGTTTCTCCCTGCAGCTTTCGGCGAGGAGCCCCCCCAAGACACGAGGGCCGCGCTCCCCCCAGGGGGAGGGACAGCTTCCCTGGGCCTGAAGACTTTGGTCCTGAGGAGAGTTTTGATGTGTCTGAGGAAGCGGCTCGAGGCCGGGATCTCCGGGGGCGAGGCCGAGGCACCCCACGAGGTGAGTGGTCAGTCACTTGGGAGGCGGGACAGAGCCAGGGGGTCCCTGGCAGTCTGTAAGACCCCCGCTCTCTGCCCCATCGCTAGGAGGAAGGAAGGGTCTGCTCCCGACTCCTGACGAGTTCCCACGCTTTGATGGACGCAAGCCAGACTCCTGGGATGGAAACCGAGAGCCAGGTGAGGGGGCCTGGGGTGGGCACGGGTGGGCTCCGCTGGACTTCCTGTCCTGCAGCCCCTGGTAACTGCACATTGGAGACCTCAACTGGCTCCTCAGGCAGCCGTGTGTGACAACACTTGCTCAGTGTTTCATGGTTGGGTAATCAGGTTAGCCCATTTCAAACTTTCTTGGTATGATAAACACTAGTAGCGAGAATTTGGGTTAGCCAATCTCAGCAATCCTTAAAATATCCCAAGACCAGATTCTGAGAGAACTACTTCCCTGGGACCCACCTGTCTCTTCCCACAGCCAGAGGGTCTTCCAGTGGTGAGATGTGATTCTTCTGTAAGCAGGATCCCATATGTCATGGGACTTGGAGTGGGCTTTGTCATGGCAAGTCCCTGGCGATCCCAGATTCCCAGCAGAATCCTTGCCAGCTGCCACGCCTGCCGCTCACGCTGTCGGAAGGGCACCGTCAGCTTCTCTGCTTCATGCCCCCACGGTTCCTCCTGCAGGGCCTGGTCATGAACATTTCCGTGACGCTCCCCGCCCTGATCATCCCCCTCATGACGGTCATTCCCCAGCCAGCAGAGAACGCTCCTCTTCTCTCCAAGGCATGGACATGGCATCCCTACCGCCCCGCAAGCGCCCTTGGCACGATGGGCCTGGCACTTCAGAGCACCGAGACATGGACGCCCCTTCTGAAGACCGAGGAAGCAAAGGTAAAGGGAGGCGAGGGGGCATGGGGCCGTGGGAGGGCTCCTCTGCCCACTGCGTGTGGCCTCACCCGCGTGCCTGGGAAGGTGCTGTGCAGGCAGCACCTTCACGGATTGCAAACTCAGCCCTGCACCCTGACCCCGGAGATGAGCTCCCCCTGCTGGCCTCACCTCCGCTCGTGCTCGGAGCCCCCGGGTGTTCTGTGCTTTGTTCAGCACTAACACGTTCCAGACGCCACGAGTTGATGTTTCTGGGGGCAGCCAATTACAAGCAGAAACTCTGAATCCTCACATGTTTAAAGTGTTTTATTTGTATTTATTTGAGAGTGGAGGGAACACAGATTTTTTTTTTCCCATCCGCCAGCCAGGTGTGGGCCAGGCTGGAGCCAGGAGCTCAGAGCGCACCTCAGGTATCTCCCACAAGGGTGGCCGCAGCCCAAGTACCTGAGTCGTCTTCCGCGGCCTACATTAGCAGGAAGCTGAATGGGAGACAGGCTGGGATTCCAGCCTCGGCGTTCAGATATAGGATGTGGGCATGTCAGATGGTAGCTTAACATGATGTACCACAGTGCCCACCCGGGAAGGTTTTAAAGGATAGAATTTTAATAATACCTGGACAATTGTAGATCTAGGTTAGAAACAAACTAAGTTATCCTTGGAAGAAATAATTCAGAAAACCAGTTTTGCCCTGTCTTGTTTCTGAAAGGCAGAGTTACATACAGGAGAGAGATCTTCCACGTTCTGATTTACTCTCCTAGTGGCCACAACAGCCGGAGCTGATCCAAAGTCAGGAGCTTCATCTTGGTCTCCCACACGGGTGCAGAAAGCCAGGGCCTTAGGCCATCCTCCGCTGCTTTCTCAGGCGCATTACCGGGGAGCTGGATGGGAAGTGGAGCAGCTGGGACATGGCCTGGTGCCCATTTGAGAGGAGGATGTTAACCCATTATGCCACAGTACCAATGCCGATCGTTTTCAGTTATGCTTTTGCTTTTTTTTTAAGAAACATTTTACTTCACTAACTCAAAAAGGAAGACACAGCGCCACATAATGTGGCGATTTCCTGGTGGGGTCCCTTGCCATTCCCATTGCTACAGCTCGTGCAGTTACTGGCAGAATTAAGTCACTGCTTTTCAAACCTCCTCAAACACCGCAGAGTCCTCGCTCCAGTTCTGAGCCCAGCTTCCTGCTCACGCTTCTCAGAGCACCCTGGAGAGGTAGCAGGATGGATGTCCTTCCGCAGCCTGCCCTGCACCTGTGTCTCTGTGAGCGTTGTGTCACCCAGCCACGGGGGCATGGCTCTCAGTGATGCCCGGGAGCAGGCCAGGAGCCACAGAGTCGGGGAGGGGCGGGGGGTGCTGTCGTGAAAGTATGTTCACAGAGTCACACTGTCACACTGGAAATCCATGTCTTCTTTCAGGCCGCGGGGGCCCAGGACCTTCCCAGAGAGTGCCAAAATCCGGGCGTTCCAGCTCTTTGGATGGAGACCACCACGATGGATACCACAGAGATGAACCTTTTGGGGGCCCTCCAGGCAGTGGCACCCCTTCTCGAGGTGTCCGGAGTAGCAGTAACTGGGGTCGAGGAAGCAGCATGAACTCTGGCCCGCCAAGGCGAGGCTCCTCGAGGGGTGGAGGGCGGGGTCGGTAGAGGCCGGCCCGGGACCCCAGCCTGAGTGGACAGTGTTTGCGGACTCGGGAAGGAAGCCTGCGCCCATGGGGCCCCGTGCTCTGTCCTGGGCAGCTGCACCCCAGGAGCCCCGTCCCACCCAAGAGGTCTTCAAGATGAGGAGACTGCTACGGGCTCCGACGTGCAGCTGACCGACCCCGTCTCGTCCTGTATGCCCTCATCGCCCAAACCCTCACGTTTTGTGAAGAGAAAAGCTGGAATTTTTTTTTTTTTCCCTTCCCTTAGTGTCGAGACATGGAGCACCTCCACAAATTTAAATTCCTGTCCAATTGGAAATTTATTTCTATATGTACAGTTTGTCAGAGAAAAACATTAAGTTGTTTTTGTATGAATACAGAATGTGACTTATGCAAGAATTAACAGAAAACAGTGAGTTGTGAAGTGCTTGCCTTAAGGAAGCTCTCGGTTCCCATGGCAGCTGAGGGGGATACGTTCCTGGGCACACCTGGCAGGACCCCTGCATCATCCGAGTGGCCTTCATCCATAAACGTGCATTCTGTCGCACTTGTTCTGTTCGGGTGATGAATACCTTAGAGCCAATCCAACATGATTCAAAGCCATAGACATGTGGGTGGAATGACATACTGTGTAAAACACACATTCCCCTGGGGTGGGGGGGTACCGCATGGTAGTTCCACTTGAGGCTTTAATGGAGAGAGGATCAATTTCTAACAGAGAAATTGAGTACATGTTTACTTTGATTAAGTGTAAGTCACTCCACATATTACATCATGTGTCTCCTGACACACTTCTCCCAAACTTCAGCCATGCTGCCATATGGAAATACCTGCAGTGAATACAGTGGGTCGTTGTAACTGGTAGGAAGCCAGCACGTTCTTGAGCATGGCCGACCGCTTTTGTAATGTTGCGTCCAGTTTGGTCTGGCAGCTAAAAACTCAGTTTGAGATATCACATGACACTCTATGCACTAACCGTTAAAACAATTTTTTAAGAGATGTATTTCATTTTGGAAGTCAGTTACAAAGAGGGACAGAGATCTTCCATCCACTGGTTCATTTCCCAGGTGGCCCCAGCTGCCCGATCTAAAGCCAGGGCTACCTGTGGGTTTCCCTATAGGCACAGGGGCCCAAGCGCTTGGGTCATCCTCCACTGCTTTCCCAAGCCATCAGCAGGGAGCTGGATGGAAAGTGAAACAGCTGGGACGGGTCTCAATCCTGCATGCCACACCAGCTCCACGGCCCGCCCTAACATTCCCTCCCATCCGTTGCCCACTTTGGCTTGGTAGCAGTGAGTTTACCTGGATGTTCCAGTGGTTGCCTTAGGAAAGCGGTGTTTATGTAGTCAGGCCAGTCCATCCAAACTCATGTGGTTCTATATTCATGTGGAAAAATAAAATGGCCCTGGTTATTATTTCTGTGGCTCTAGAGACTCCCAAGGGAGTGTTCTTAAATTTTCCTTCACAAGGAAAGGCTCGTCGTTGTGTGTTCCCACCAGGAGCACACACTGAGGCCGTGTGGAGAGAAAGCTGACCCACAGAGCAACCGGGCTCCTAGGACAGAACTCTGTTAACGGCTTAGGTTTCAGCTTTAAAAACCTACTAGTACCTCAGTCAGCAGACAGCCACGTCACGTTCTCAAGAACAAATACACTGTAAAGAAACATTATTACATTTATTAAATTCTTAGAAAATGCATATATCATTTTAAAACGGCACTGTTGAAATCCATCCCAAGATACTGTCTTTTGAATTTTATAAATTTTCAAACTGACTTCTTGGAGATAATGTTGCAAAAAAAAACACATTAAAATCTTGATTTAGGAAACAAGAGTAGTGTCAACAGACAAATGTGTTCAACACTATTTGAATATAACTAGAACAGAGAGCACGGGGGTGGCAGAAAGAGCAGCTAATGGTACAAAGCTGACAAAGTGACTCCAGGAAAATACTGTGCTTGCCACCCTGAGGTAGGGGACCTAAGTACTGATGGGCCACCAAGGGGATCCTGGGCGGGAGCCGGGAAGGGACGCCCTAGAGCTGTAAGCCCAGCATGCACCCTGCTGTCCCTGGCATTGCTTCTTGGGGAAGGGCTTATGGCATGGATGGCGACCCAGAAACTTCCACTTTGAGGATGGAGGATGAGGTAGGTAGTGCTCTGTACTGCAATCAACCAACACACACCCTGTTAAGGCCCTTCAGGCACATGAAGTTCTGAGTGGTCTGCGGGCAGCTGTGACACACAGCAAGAGGAGAACCCTGGGCAGGATCCTCCAATTAAACACGCTGCACAAAATCCTGGGGTGTCCTGCACCTGTCACGATCCTGGGCAGGATCCACAAGGAACTGCCATCGGTCAGTGGAAGTGAATGCTTGGCCTTCCAAGCGCCTTGGTCAGCCGGCCAACTGCACACGACGATTTGCAAGGTGGACAGCCAAGTTGGAAACGGTCATCAGGGCTTGGAGAAACGAGTGTGGCATTTCCCCCAGCCCAGTTCTGTGGAGACCAGCTCCAGGCATTTCCACACACCGTCAGCACACAACACAACACAGTCTTGAGATAAAAATGTTTTTTTTGGTTCACTGTGTTCGGTCATCTAAAGCGGACTTTCCATGTTACAATGTCCCTAGCCAAAGAAAATCTGCAGTAAGCAGTCTTAATTTTTTAAATCCGATGTTTAAGCTAAACTGGTACTTAATCCGATACCCTCTGGATTTACACTGCATAATAAAATAACAACTGTCCAACTCTTAGGTATAGCAAAAACAAAACCAGAGAGCTGCTACAGCCAAATAGCGCTGGATGTTTTTAGAAGGTAAACCTGAGAAAAATCGGGAAATCCGCTATTTCGAAGAACTCAGTCCGAAACCACGGTGGATGCAAAAAGTTCCTTTCAGCAGCGATGTCACAGTGCGTTCGTCTTCAGTGGCGCAATCGGGGATCTTCAGGAGGACCGCGCGCTCCGGGGCGCAGCCAAGCCGCTCCAGTCTCAGTCCCGGACGCCGCTCCGCGTCCACGACGCCCCGGGGCCCGGAGCCCTCCACACCCGCGCGTCCCGCAGTGTCGGGCCCGCGCGCTCACACCGGCAGCGTCTTGGCCAGGCCGGCGCCGCGACCCAGGCGGCCGAGCGCCAGGCGCAGCGCGGAGAGGCCACCCCAGGGCAGCGCGGCCAGCAGCACGGCGAGCAGCGCGGCCACCTGCGCGCAGGCGCCCAGCGCCGTGAGCAACGTGCTGCGCAGCCCCAGCGCCGAGTACAGCGTGGCGCCCAGCGCGGCCCCGTAGAGCAGCGCGGGCCGCGACGGCGTCTCCTCGCCCCGCAGCAGGCGGCCGCACGCCGCGCCGCCCCGCAGCAGCGCGCCGCCCGCCAGCGCCAGCACCGAGCCCAGCGACCACAGCAGCGCGAACTTGCGAGCGCGCAGCAGCAGCACGGGCGCGTAGAGCGCGGCCAAGCCGAAGCAGAGCGCGGCCAGCAGCAGGCAGCCGCCGCCTGCCGCCAGCCGCTGCGCGCGCGTCACGGAGGGCAGGCACGACGGGCCAGCAGCCGCCGGCTCGGCCGGGCTCCGCGGCCACGGCCAGCGCAGCCCCGCGCGGCCCAGCCACGCCTCGGCCATCCCGCCCGTGGCCGCGCGCTCCTCGGCCGCGTCCGCGCCCAGCAGGGGCTCGGCCACGGCCGCCCCGCCGCCCGCACGGCCCTGCGCCAGGTACTCCTGCAGCTGGCGGTGCAGCTCCGCCATCTTCCTGCTCTGGGCGCGGGCGGCGGTTGGCCGGGCGTGGCGGAAGGGGTGGGCTTCCTGTCGGCCATCCCGCCCCTGCCGTCCCCGCGTCGGGGGTGGGGAGGCTGCTGGCGGCCGGGCCCCGGTCCCGGAGGGAGGCGCTGCTGAGGAGACAGCGTGCGCTCTCAGCCTTGGCACTGCTCACAGCACCCAGATCCTGTGCCAGAGGGGGACGGGCCATCGGCTTTGGGCTGTTGGCTTCCCAGCCCTTCTGCCATGACCCAGGGAACCAGTTACCCACCTACCCCCGCCCGATGAATTCTTTCTAGTACTTTGCAAACACATCTGATTTGTGATTTGGTTGTCACCGTGACCATCCACAGTCACTTAGCAGGAGCAGAACCTTCGGGATGCACGCCATCCACCAACAGGTACACTAGGAAACTTTATAAAACAGGGTTTCAAAGGGGATGGGGAACAGTTAAGACTTTGTGTTCCTCGGGGGGCTGGCATGGCCTACCAGGCTAATCCTCCACCTGCTGGCACCATCACCCCATAGGGGTATCGGTTCATTTCCCAGCTACCCCCCTTCCAGTTCAGCTCCCTGCCTGTGGCCTGGGAAAGCAGTCGAGGACGGCCCAGTGCCTTGGGACCCTGCACCCACTTGGGAGACCTGGAAGAAACTCCTGGCTCTTGGCTCAGAATTGGCTATTGCGGCTGTTTGGGCAGTGAATCAGTGGATGGAAGATTCAAAGACTAGTGTCTTTGAAGAGAAGAAAAAGGGCTTTGTGCCGCACCTTGGAGCACCGGGTTTGATTCTCGGCGCCGTCTCCTGACTCCTATCTGGAGCATCTCCAGGGGATAGCTCAAGCAATGGGAGACGTGGATGTGGGTGGAGTTGCATCGTGGGCGGGGAGGATGTTTTCTCACTCAGTTAAGGATGGACACAGGTGAGCAGACGGAAGTGACGCCACATCGTCATGCAGCCCTGAAGTAGGACCGGCAGGTGCCATTGCAGAGGCCAAAGTTCCGGGAAAAATAACCGACCTGAGGGAACTGTTGGCAACAGGGCGGGGCTTGAGGGCCTGATTTTGGCTTCACTTCTTTTCTTTTTTTTTTTAGGATGTTTACATAGTTGATCAGGGTGGAAAGACTAGAGGGTTAGGGGAAAGTGGGAGAGAGCGTTGTTTCCAAATGTTCTTTCCTGCTGTACCTGGGGGAAGGGGAGAGGGGAGAATCTGCACCCAGCCTCCCAACCGCCTCTGCGCCCGGGGTGGGGAACAGTTCGTTTTCTCGCCTTTCTGTTGCTTGCTCACTCTCCCTCCTTGCCTGCTTCTCTTCCTCCTTCCCTTCCTCTCTCCCTTCCTTCCTTCCTACTTTTTTTTTCAATGATTCATTTATTTATTATTTTTTATTGGAAAGGCAGGTTTACAGAAAGAGAGAAAGATCTTTGCTGGTTCACTCCCCAGGTGGCTGCGCTGCCTACAGCTGAACCGGTCTGAAGCCAGGAGCTTCCTCTGGGTCTCCCATATGGGTGCAGGGATCCAAGGCTTTGGGCCATCTTCCACTGTTTTTCTAGGCCCACAAGCAAGGGACTGGATGGGAAGTGGAGCAGCATGCAAGGTGAGGAATTCAGCTGCTAGGCTACCATGCCTGGCCCTCCTCTTTTTAAAAAAAGGTTTTATTGATTGGAATGGGAGAACCATTGCCTGGTCCACACCCCCGCTGTTCGCCAGAGCTAGGTCTGTCTAGAGCTCCCTCCCTCAGCGTGAGACCAGTCGACCTGCTGATCCCCCTCCCAGCGGCCCCCTCCCCGCTATCAGCTATCAGGCCCTGTCTCTCTCTCTCTCTTGCATGCCCTTCCTCCTGACCCTGAAATGTTGTGCACCCCAATGTGTCCCTTCTATCTTTGGGTTCCCTGGCTCTGTCCTGCAGCTTTCCAGCTAACCCATCACACTTCTTCCTCGACCCCCACAGGTGCCTTGAAAATGCCCTGGCCTGGGAGGGAGACTGGCATGGTGACTAAATAAGTTAATCCTCCATCTGAGGTGCCGGCATCCCATATGAGCACCAGTTTGGGTCCCAGGTGCTCCACTTCTGATCGAGCTCAGTGCTCATGATCTGGGAGGGCAGAGGTGGATATGCCAAGTCCTCGGCCCCCACCCCCGAGCCCACAAAGAAGGCCTGAGCAAGATTCTGGCTCCTGGGTTAGGACTGACCCAGCTCTGGCTGTTGGTGTTGTCTGCAGAGTGAATAAGCAGATGGAAGATTCTCCACCCTCTACATCTCTCTCTCTGTCTCTTTCTGTCTCTGTAACCCAGACTTTCAAAATAAATAAGGAAATCTTATTTTTGTTTTTTTTATATCATTTTATGACACAGTTTCATGGGCTCTGGGATTCCCCCAGTCCCTCCCCAAACCCTCCCCCCATATTGAATTCCTCCATATTGTTACAGTGGTACAGATCATAACCAGTCATGATTCTTTCATTACGGGTATAGACCATGCAGAGAGTCCAGCATCTTATTGTCCAGATAAATTCAACAGTTTCATTGGGAGACCATCCCTGGTCTGAAAGTTGAGCTGGAAGAATATCATCCTCTCGGGCCCGGTGCGGTGGCGCAGTGGTTAAGGTCCTCGCATTGTACGCCTGGGATCCCATATGGGCGCTGGTTCTAATCCTGGCAGCCCCGCTTCCCTTCCAGCTCCCTGCCTGTGGCCCGGGAAAGCAGTCCAAAGCTTTCGACCCTGCACCCACATGGGAGACCCGGAAGAGGCTCCTGGCTTCGGATCGGCATAGCATCGGCCATTGCGCTCACTTGGGGAGTGAATCATCGGACGGAAAATCTTCCTCTCTGTCTCTCCTCTCTGTATATCTGACTTTCCAATAATAAAAATAAATCTTTTAAAAAAAAAGAATATCATCCTCTCCCATGAAAAGCCACAACACAACTTCAACAACTGAAAGAAACATGGAAATTTACAACATCATGAAATTAACATGGTATTGAGTGACCAATATGTTAGAACATGCAAGTTCTTAACCGCAACCTATAACCACTTCCTTGGCATCTCAGTTTTAGTATATACATAACCGGCTGCTATAAACCTTTTTTTTTAATTCCTCGCAAGCTGACATGTTTTTGAGTTTAACCTAAATCAGTGGCACAGGAACAGTGAGAAGATCAACATTAACATCCATCATATATAACAGCCGAGTACAAACTTAACATCAAAGTTTCTATGCAGTTACATCTTGTTTAGTATGAACAATCATAAATTGATAAAGTTTTTTGGGGAGAATCTTAAGCCACAATTTAAACCTTGCAGTGTATCCTGATTAAGCACAGTTTTACAGAACTTTGCATTTTAACAATTGAAGAATAGAAAAGTTTTAGGCAGGTGAGCAAGGAAATCCCCAACAACCTAGTGACTGGGGAAGAATTGAACTCTACATCCTACCTGGTAAAGTCCAGGAGAAGCAAATAGGGACCTGACCAGCAAGTACAGGCTGAGCGATTATAGGCTAGTTGGCCTTTTCCCTGGCTGTTCCAGACTTTCTGTATCAGTGTCTCTGAAAAGCCAAATGGGAAGCCTGATCAGTAAGGTACAAGCTGAGTGATTGTCAACTAGCTGACCTAGTTGATATCAACTCTATTTGCACAATTTTGAGGCGCACAAGCACCCCTGATGGTCAGTGTGAGAGAGGGCAGGGAGCCGAGGCTGGAACTAGATAAGGACCAGAGGAAGCTCCTCTCCTGAGTCCAGAAGGAAATTTACAATCCTTTTCTCTCTGACTCCGGGCTCCTGGTTGTAGTTCCGATGTCATCAGACCCTATGAGAGGGTTTGGGGCTGCTACCATCCCGTGTGGGAAATCTAATAGGAAATGAGTGACCTCAGAGCGCTCAGCCTCCGAGGGCATTCACGGTTCTCGGTGTCCGTACTGACAGTCCTCCATGAAGTATCCATCACTTCCATGGCGAATGCACTTGAAAGGTCTCCGGGGGTCTCCGGGACTAGGATACAGACCTCCTCTTCTCCTCCTGCTCCGCCCTGAGAGCTCCTCCTGCTCTGTACACACAACCGCCTTTTGAGGGGGTGTCAGGGTTGTTCTTGGATCCCACCACAAATTTCTGTGGTTTTTCTAATGTCTAAGGCCATTAAAAAAGCAAACAAAGTGATGGGAATCCTTGCTTCTGACCCAGCTGTGGACTGACCAGGCACACAGATAGCCTAGGGCGGCAGCAGGGCCCTGCAGGCCATAGCGTATTCTTTGAACCTGACCTTAGCTCTCTGGGGTCCCATGGGCAGGGGTCTCCTGTGATGTGGAATCCTCCCCGCTCCTCCCCCTGGGGCAGCTCTTCCTGCAGAAGGACTCTGCCTGCTTGAGGGTAGCTGGGTGGCCATACTGGTCAGACCCGGCTTCCCACCACGGCTTCCCACACCCTGGGCACCCTGGGCACCCTGGGCACCCTGGGCACGGCTTCCCGCACCCTGGGCAGATGGTCAACAGGTGTGTTTGGCTCACAGCCCTGAGACGGGCAATTCCAAGATCAGGGGAGGAGCTGCCTCTGGGAAGGCCTCTGCCTCAACGTGTGACCAAGGGTGGCACTGGCTGGCAGAAGAGGTGGGGCCAGGAGCCCCCACATGCCTTCCCCAGGCTGCCTGGGGCCTAGGTTTTTGGCACACACCTCTCTCACACCTGCGCCCCCCCATGGCCTCTGTTACCCAGGTCTCCCACGCTGCTGTGTGGTGGGTCAGCTGGTGCCCATCCCGCCTTTGTAAAACAGAAATCTGGTCACGTCTGATGCCAGCATCTTCCAGCGCCTCCCCCAGACTCCTGAAGATTCAGTTCCAACTGTGCCTCTCTTCCCACCCGGCCCAAATATTTTAGGCCCCCCTCAGGGCTCCTCCCGCACCCCGTCCTGCCACACCTGTGCCCCACACAACCTCTGCTTCTAGGTCCTTCCTTGTGACTCACACAAGCTTGGCGATGCCTTAAACACTGCTGGCAGCAGCA